GTCAAACTAGGATTTCTGGGTCTGGTATTGGTGGGGGTGGTGATGAAAGTTTGTCATCATATGTCTGACATGAACGGAGAGGTGAGGGCGCTAAATCAAAGAAAGCAGCAGCTTTATTCAGCCTGACATCGCCGGGATACAAATCCAGCTGTGATCGACGGGACAATGAGGCCAGCTTCGCCATAGTCAGGCCCGGTGAGCGGAGACGTGGTCGGTTTGAAAGACTGGTAGTCGACGAAAATGAGCCGAATATTTAAAGCAGAACTAAACGAAGAGGCCATCAACTCGCCGCTCATCAGACCAGTCACCGCTCAAAACTGGCCATTAGTTCACCGCTCATCAGACCAGTCACCGCTCAAAACTGGCCATCAGTGCACCGCTCATCAAACCAGTCACCGCTCAAAACTGGCCATCAGTTCACCGCTCATCAGACCAGCCACTGCTCAGCAGGGAAACATAAGCAATATGTGAAAGCATTTTGGCTATGCTGTGGCAGTGTGGAGAGTGAAGTAAGGAGCGGCTCATTAACATATGTGGACGCTAACAAAGCCTGGAAGGGTGTGGGAAACCCAGTCTTAATGAGCTCTTCGCCGCATTGCACTTCTGAAAGCTGTTCGTCGTTGAAGAGTTTAAGCGCCGTGATTTCAGATTGCAAATGTCGCTCTCAAGATTCATTATTTGGAGCACCCTTTCCATTGGGATCATAGGGACGAAGAACACTTATTTTAGTTCTGTGCAGCATCAACAGAAAAGAGTCTGTCAAACGACGGAGTAATGCACTAAGCGGACTGCAGAGGAAAGGAGGTTGGTACAAGAATACAGAAGCAATGTGGCTGATAAAGGTCCAGCAACCGCCGCAGCTCCGATTCTTGCGCCCGGAACGACGTGGAATCTTTGTTAGACGCGACACAGAGCCTCGCGCAGGCGCTTAAATGGCGTGGTCACGGCATCTGTCGCATGTGCATGGTGTTCTGCAATAGGTGACACGTACCGTGCATGCCGCTGTAAAGTCCATCTAGGTTACCCAAAGCATGCTGCCGTTTAGTCATATATATATACAAACACATATTCGTAAGATTCGTAATGGTCAAAGCTGTCTGTAGACAGCACTGTTCCACTTTAAAGTATGGCGGCGATCATAAGTTTACACGGCTTGAACGGCCCTGCGCGGCTTTGCCGCATGTGTACCGGAGAGGCCTGGGCTCTGCTGACAGTCAGTGGGGCCGATGCGGTCATGGCATGCACTGAAGCCGAAGTCGCAAGGGCTCCGCTAAATCGAAACGCTAATATTGAACCACACACGTTTTCCGAACTAAAGCATGATGAACTCTCATGAGATTAATAACAAGATTAGTTTAGCCGCGAAGTCTACTAAACAATTCTTTGGCTACAAGTGAGCAAAAAACGTAGAAAAAGTGTTGTGCGAGAACACGCATTTGTGATAGTGACGGACAGGGATGGCAGCCTTTCACAAAAGTAGCCGCTTCAACTGGAAGTCTGGCCGTCTGGGGAAGAACCTAAAATCTGGCTCTACAAGCCGAATCGAGCATGTTTAATTTTCACATGAGAACGAAAGGATTTCAGCTCCCGGTTTTTCGGCATTATGAGTTCAAAGTTCCTATGCTCAGCTAACGACCATCAATGTACCGGAAGGTATTGGTTAAACGACGTCAAAGTGCTAAACGACGAGCGCATCAAATGCATGTAGTCCATTTGTTTGTTTGTTTTTTTTCTTTGGGATAGGGGAGAATTCATATGCTTTACTCTTGCTTTTCCAGTGCTACATTTTGTTTACCCTGTCTGAACCCTTGTCACTCTTGAGGATAAGCGCAGCTCTAAATGTTTAGCAACACCAATACGATCGTTGTTTATCACTATAACCCTGTTAAACCAATACCTCCTGGTATAGTGAGGGTAGTTAATACGGCATAAGAGGTTTGAACTCAGCATGCTTAATTTAGTTAATCACATGAGCAAAGAAACGTCACTCGAAAGGTGACAAGCTTTTCATATGTTGAAAACCCCACTGTAAATAAAAAGCGAGTAACATTCAAAAACGTGTTTGGAAAGCTCGCCCACATCAACAGGGACAAGGTCTCCATAGGCTCGGTCCTTCGACAGGGACAGGGTCTCCGTAGGCTCGGCCCCTTCAACAGGGACGGTGTCTCGGTGGGCTCGGCCCCTTCAACAAGGACAGGGCCTCGGTAGGCTCGGCCGCTTCAACAGGGACAGGGTATCGGTACGCTCGACCCTTCAACAAGGACAGGGCCTCGTCTGAGGACCCAGAGCGCCTAAGGCCTCCGAAGTAAACCCCAGAGCCAGATCACTGCGCTCTCGGCGATGGAGCGTAATGAACGAGAACTTCTGTGCCATGAATAGATCTGAGTGGTTTCAGCACGGCATCTGAAGACTGATGGAATTACGAGGAAGGGAATGGTGCTTGTTTAATCGGCTTAACACAACTTAAGCTCTGAACCTGAGCAATCGCCCATCTCCCGCCTGTGAACCTGAACAATCCCTCATCTCCTGCCTCGTTGCTCGGTGCCGGGCAGCGACCCGAGAACGGATTTTTAAAGTTAAATCTAAGGCTTTCAGATAGGGTGAGTTGTTGAACATAGCCGCTGGGCTGAACTTGACACAGAACGTCGCTTATCTTAGCATGCTGCTATCTAGTTATGTAGTTCTCTTGCACGTTGATAGGTTTATGTATCTGACTTATCGTATCTTCTCTTGTCTGGCGTAACTTAAATAGAGGATGCGTAGTTGCTCAGTTGTGCTATAATGTTTCCAAAACAGCTGCGTGAAAGCCGACTGACTGAGGTAGTCCTCTTGCATCACTGCACAAATAACAAATGCATTGAGGCATTGATTCGCGCATCAAACAGCAGAATTACGCGGCAGTGTACACTGCACTTCAATTATGATGCGTTGGTTTCGGTCTATTCGGTAATATTTGCCATAATGCGACGTTCACGGAGAACGGTTACATGTTGAAATGGTTGCAGCATTTAAAATGTTGCGTAAGTGCATTCATGTTCCTATTCAATGCGCATGCTATGTGAATCATGATCCACCTGCATGTTCGTAACTTTGCATACTTTCAGGACATCACACATCTTAGCTGCTCCTGTAAAGGTGATTCTCACCAAATGCTTAGCCTATTAGGCCTGCTAGCTGCTGTTGAAGCTGCTACTTGTCACATGTTTACCTGAAAAACGACGTTTACATGGTCCCTGCACCACGTGCTTTACCTTTAAGTAATTGAGACCATGGACACGAGGCGGATTCAGCACGGCATCTGCCAATGTGACAACAGACTTAACGCAATGCTGCGCCACGCCTCAAAAGCTGAGAGGGACTCCGAGGTTTTCGATGTACTTTTCCATGATCGCCCATTCACGCCTGATGATTAATCCCACGAAGGTGTCCGGACCTTGCCCAGTATACTCCCCCCCCCCCCCCCGAGGCCAAGCCTGTTGGTTAAGTCCATAGGACCTGCCCGAAAACTAGCCAGCCGCGACGAGAATAAGCGCACGCCCCAGCGCAGGGTGGTCTTGTAGCTACAGCGGTGTGCGGCGCTAAGCCTGCTGCTGACGTTCACGGCCAGGCGGCGGGTTTACGCGCGTCACTTGCGATGTCGGCGCGCTCGCGCAGCAGGGTCGCTAAGTTGGAGCGGTCGTGGCTGGACTGTTAATCTCCCAATTGAGCTGGTTAGTGCTGAGGACTTCATGACGCTGGTCCCAGACGCTGGTCGCAGAGACGACCGCCAGCATGGCTCGGATCGTGATTGGGCATTATGACACCAGAGCGTGGTCAAAACACTTACCCATGTGCATTCATGGCATTATCCAAGCGTTGGCATCACCGTGCATTATATGCTTTACATGCATGCATTGTATTCATGCGTATCACAGTGTTAGGCCACGCAAAGCTAAACGTACAGGAGATGTAATGAACGCAGTGGGACACCTGTGTATGGTTCCATTGTGTGCTAAACAAAAAGCTAGAATTTACCGGCATGTTTGTGTTATCAATGCATGACCCCGTCCAGGACTTGGAGGAGGGGGTGGAGACAATTCGATTTTATTTGACGTATACCACAACACTGCTGGGAGCAGGCTGAGCGTGGAAAAACACCCAAAGCTACCCACAAAATAAAGAAAAAAACGTGCCCTCCCCAGATTTGATCTACTTTCTTTTCAAGGTTGGGGGGCTGCAGCCCCCTTCCCCTTTAAATGAATCGGAAACTACACTCCCGGGTGTACCACCAAAAGCTGCACGTGTTAAATTTCTCAAAACGTTGGGCCCTTGACCTGCCAAAGTTCTTGCCACGATGGCTTCCGCGCCCATGCATGCACTGGTACAGGTCGCCAGGATCTAGTGACCGCTAGCGTTGGCATGCTTACAGCGGCAGGCCAGCAGCTGGCACCAGAGCGATTCCGCCCAATGCTTGAAGGCTGCAACATAAACTGTGCGGCATACCCGCACTACCAGCGAAGCCCTGCTCTCGATCATTGGCTGTTTGGGCAAAACTTATGACGCTGTTGATTTATTTGCTGATGTCACTAAGTTTACTCACTTGCGTGGCTGGGGCAGGAATATCTTATTCAAGGCAAACATAAAGCTCTGTTCATCTCCCCGATTGCTGTATAAAATGCATAAGTTACACAAACATTATAACTTAAAACGTGCACACTTAAGTCCATAATAAGTCCCCACCAACGTCCGGTGCCGTCGAAGGCGCAACACAAAGACGAAACGGCGGCTTGTGTTACCATGGTGAGGCATGGACAATGGTATGCACAAAGTGGAGTTTTTTGGGAGCACATGGGGTAAATCGGAAATTCAAGTTAATTATCATTACGGCTTTCGGGAGTATACAAAAGTTCGTATAGGTGGTGGAGGGTCAAGCCCATTTTAAAGCTTGGAACACCCCATCCCCCGTTTATACGTACGAATCGCCTGGCGCCCTCCTCGCGGCCCTATACTGGCGTACTCACCAAGCAGCAGCGCCAGCAGGGAGCAGCCGGCTGGGAGCGCGCCAGTCGCCATGGTTACGCGTCGGTCGCGCGGCGCGCCGTTCTGCCGCGGCTGGCACCGGTGCATCTCTGACCCAGTCAACCGGGCCGCCGGGGCGTTTCATTGGCCGGCCGGTGGGGGCTCTGCGCCCGCGTAAGTGCGGCGTCGCGGCCGCCTTCGCCGCCGGCCACGAACAAAGGACAAATTGAAATTCTCTGTGCAACAGTCAATGTCCTCGCCCGAGATTGAAAAATACATCAGCTGGGCCAGTGGTGACTCCTTTAACAGCCGTGTTTGAAGAGATCGGTAATGGCTGGACAACAGGGCGCTATGTTTGACGGAGGACCGCCCCAGGTCAGTCACGTCCGCGAAAATTCTAGCCCCCGGGGCCATAAAATGAAATTTGACGCTTAGGGGATTGACGAACAGAAATGAAGTGGATGTGGAGATTCGATTCCATTTGAGCCAAGGGAGCCGCCTCGAATGCTAAGCGGCACCGGTGATGCGGACGTGACCTCTGAGCCGGTTCACTGACGCCGCTTTGGCGTGATTGCTGGGCCTGCTGGGAGGAACACATGATCTGCAGGTGGTTGTGGATGTACTGGTAGGTGTAATCTAACGGGGAAGTGCGACACCTCAGTGCGGTCCCAGCCGGTGCCTCATACCACCGCCCGTCTGCCGTGTCATGACTTCATCATCCGCTGTAGCGGACCGGTCCTGCGAAAGCACGCCCACTATTTCACTTTTGCTGGACCCAGCGGACAGTATAGCATTATCCAGCATTTTCTGTCACCGCGTGGGGGCTGATATCCAACATTTTATGACTTATGCCATGCGTCTAGATTTAAAAAAGGCGTAGGAGGGAAGTGGCATGTACAAAAACTCACCAATAGTAGTCGTTGGTGAATACAGCCGATTGTCTGCAGGGTTTCCAGGCCAGCTCTCTCTCTCTCTCTCTCTCTCTCTCTCTCTCTCTCTCTCTCCTCTCTCTCTCTCTCTCTCTCTCTCTCTTCTTCTCTCTCTCTCTCTCTCTCTCTCGTGCATCTCCTCTGCCTCTCATCTCTCATCTCTCGTCTCTCTCTACTCTCTCTCTCTCCTCTCTCTTCTCTCTCTCTCTCTCTCTTCTCGTCTCTCTCTCTCTCTCTCTCTCTCTCTCTTCTCTCTCTCTCTCTCTCTCTCTCTCTCTCTTCTCTCCTCCTCTCTCTCTCTCCTCTCTTCTCTCCCTCCTCTCTCTCTATCCTCTCCTCTCTCTCTCTCTCTCTCTCTCTCTCTCTCTCTCTCTCTCTCTGTCTCTCTCTCTCTCTCTCTCTCTCTCTTCTCTCTCTCTCTCTTCTCTCTCTCTCTCTCTCTTCCACGCCGTTCTTCTCTTAAATGCTTGCCAATGTTGTGCTTTACGAAAAAATGGGCAGATTTCTTAGCTCCTTGCAAGACTTGGAAGATAGCATGGACATGTGGTGGCCCTTACGTAATGCGCAGTGCAAAGGGCATTGTGAGGAACCACAACTCGACGGGATCTTTATCCACATATCAACTGCCTTACGATTGCTACTTTTGTAAATGCTTTTAGAAGAGTTTGCTGTTAGTGTGACTGAACAGCATCAGTGGGCTAAGTCACAGATCAGCTGTTTCAGTTGATTATCGTTCGAAAATGTTAGCTATGCGCTCTTGCAGGTACAACAATCACTGATAACGAACTATCGTCAATGACCAATGGCACATCTGGGGACAAAAAATGGTCCGGCTGCATCAGACTGTGTGTCCGCCTGCGAAGCCATTACCACCCTAACTGCATTAAAGACTTAACAGTGAAAACATAGTACCGCTCAGGAAGTGCAGAATGTGGTTATATTGAGCCAGGTTATCAGTGTTATCAGTGTTGTCTGTGGCTGTCGCAAAGGCTAAGAAACTGCACGCGCGGCGATTTCTCGTCTTGGGGGATGGCCTCAAGAAGTGGCTTTGAACTAATCCATTCAAAAATCGTGCCCTAAAAAGGCCCTTGATCCATTACATTTACTCTATAAAGCAACACGAGCATCACACAAAACTCCATAGTTCTATAGAATAAATCATCAAGGTAGAAATTGCAACTAAAACTTAAAGCATACCTTCTTTGTGATGCCCATTCGAAATTGCTCAAATGCGCAAGAAATGGATGCAAGTGTTGTAGAAATGCAGCAATCGTATGACTTAATCATGGCAAACATCCCAATGGATGGGACTCAGGGTCTCAGGTCACCATGGTATCCGACGCTGGCGTGCCATTCATGCCGTGGCGCAGTGGACTGTGTGCCGCATGTCTGTCACCATAGACAAGGCCCATTGATCAACCACTTGGTTGGAAGACATCCACCGGTGGCTCAATCAAATGCATGCTACTCAAAAAACGTACATTGGTTGCATGAATGTACCTCGCGAACCAACTCCGTCTTCCTGTACAAACTTTGGAAAATGCCCACAGATATTCCTGCCACCATTAGCCCAGGCTCAGTTGGAGCATGTGTTTGACTTTCGTAGCGTAAAGGCCTTTGGTGACTTTGCACTCCACTAGTTTGGTGAGTGTCTTCATGTTCACGTCCTTTGGGTGTCGGGCTCTACACATGCTCGGTTAGCATTCCCGGGGTTTGTGTTGCTGTTCACGGAGTGCATGCTGAGGGTGCGGTATAGTGACGCAGAAGAACGGATGCACAAAGTTTGTTCAGGCACCAAAGAAGTCAATGTTTGTTCCATTTGGGGGCTATCGCATAAAATATTATGGGGCTGCATGTAGTACAAGAATGGAGCCGGCCATAAGTCTAGGCAATCAATTCGAAAGCCGCAATAGATTCACCACATGCATAACGCAATGCTTTGGCGCTGTTGGCAGCTCACTGAACTTTTCTCAAGAACCAAAGCCTAGATCACCAGGTTCACACTCGACTAGTGTGCTTCTAATATAGTGTTCTCATCAAAATAAGGCATAATTTGGTCTAAACGGTTTATGAGAAAAAAATCAGTTAAGTTGAAAAGTCGACCGAAGACCAGCTGCCTTAACTGCAAATGAATAGAATGCAAGTAAGTGTCAATATACAGGTTTGTAAAATATAGAACCTTGTGCGCAGCCGATGCGCAGTGGGCCAGATCGTCTACAAAACCACCAATAACGCAAATGAATGGTCAAGTTGGACAATTCCGTGTTTCTTAGTGACTTTTTCTAGTGTCCAATGCGATCACGTGCTTATTTTGGCATACAGGTAGACATGTATGACAAAGCAAGCAACGGGTGATTACGCCTCCTACTGTTGTTTTGCCATCTGAATTAGGCTAGAGCCGCAAAACAAGAAACCGGTGAGCTGCTAGTCATGGAGGGAGGATTTCTTCAATTGAGTGATAACCTTGGACGTTCGGGTAAAACATCCTATAATGTGATCGGTATTTGCTTTGGCCATTAAATATAATCACAGAAGCTTTTTCCTGCAACTACACATGATATTGATGACACTCATTCTTCAGTCTCGCGGAGACTTTGATCCCAAGTGACAGTTGGTCTGTTACCAATAGCGAGCTACGGACCTAACATTGTTTTACTTACAGTTTAGCCACGAATTGCTTGAAGTGTCATGAGAAAACGAAATTAGGTAACAAAGTATTTTTTCGGGGGGCTGCATCGTTAGTCCAGATAGAAATGCCCAGTTCATGTACGAGATGAGAAACAATACAGAAAGCAAAAATTTTACCCGGACAGATTTTCTATCTGATTCGGTGCTGAACATACCATCTCACTCTGAACCCACCATCCCATTATTGTAATACATCTGCAGCAGATCAATTTTACATTGATCGCTTTCCAAATAGCACGAAGGGACCTTTACCGAGTCATGCGACTACACGACTGTTGGTCGCTCTGGAACCTGGATGACACTGTCAAGCCAGCAGCCAAATAGCCCTTGCTGACGAGCCATGAATGAACGCTTATTCTGAAAGGCGAATCTACCATTATGCGTTTCTCCGCATCACGGTTATGGTCAGTGGCATGCATGTGGTGATTCTCTGGACAGCAAACGCATTTTCGACACCACAGTTACAGCAAACTCATCCTTACCGTTGTGCTTACAGCGCATTGTTATGTTCCCAATTGAACTAGCCTTTGAGCCTAAATTAATAAGTTCCAATCCGTTAATTTGTGTTGATCTCTTAGCCTCAATCTCACAGAACTATTGGTCGATGTGAATTGTGTATTATGAGTTGCTGAACACTATTGAGTATGGCTGAGCATTGTTGATTATGATCTTGGTATTGATTAAAATTACTGGTGCCATGCATAGCTGAATTGAAAAGTGTGGTGCGACGTCAAATTCAGGTACAAAATTTTGCGCGCCGCTCGCTCGCTCGTCACTTTACATGGGGCGGGCTGCGACATAAATGCAAGCGGAAAAAATAGAATTGAAGCAGACTTGTGTGACTTGGCCAAATTGTTTGGCCCCCAAACCTCATAACTGGGTCCGATAATTTAGCCTGATGGGTACTGCCCCATGAAAACGAAATATATATGTTTTCCGTACAGAGCAGTGCACGTACCAGGGGCGTAGTTCCACAAAACGAGTTGGGGGGGAGGGGCTGAACAGTTGGGAGGCTGGACCCCCCCCCCCTCCCCAGCTGCATAGGAAACTACGCCCCTGTCACACATCAACACTAGAAGACCCCCTAACCTCGTAATATAAAGTCGTCTGCTCTCACCGCCGGAAAACACGCACTAGTTGAGCGCAAGAACGATGCGAATCGACTTACACAGCTAGGGCCACAAACACGTAAAGGTCTAAAGGGTTAAACTAAAACACTCTGGAGTACGGGAATGACCAAAGGCCTTCATGATTAGCCCTGTCCCTGTCCCCAACAACAAAAATACGTGCCGCCAACCATAGCCGCCATAAAAGTGTGTCTTCGGCTCCCTAAGGCGGCCTCTAGAGGGGCGCCTTTACTTTCCGATCAGGGGGAGCATGTCCCTCCCCTAAGCCGCCAGATTCGTCCACGCAGGGCTGCTACGCTGCTTATAAGTT